CCAGTCTATAGAGTGTGTTTTCTTTAGTGAATTACCGGTATGTTTACCGGTAATAAACTTGCACTGTTTTATGTATATGTTTGATTACATACAGCCTTGTGACAGTTTTCCTGCATGCCATAAGCATTTCAATATAAATTAAAATGTTAAAATCAAATCTGATATTGTTTTACCTTTTATTTGGTGTGTGGAAGGTGTGCGGAAGAGGGGGTAGTCTTATACGGCGAGTATATAACAAACTCTGTATTTTGAGTGGAAATGTTAGGGGGTCGTCTTATACGCCCAGTCGTCTTATACGCCGGCAAATACGGTACATGCCCTTGACCGGAACTGAACCTGGGACCCTTCAGTCTGTAGGCCTACGCTCTATCCACTGAAACAAACCGGTTAGGGCTCAATAGATTATATTAATAAATAAAAATAAAATAAAAAGGATCAAGCTTACCTCCTGCCAGTGAACACTGAGTGTCATACTGCCACCCTGATGTCTGCGTTGAGTCTGTTCCATTCGAAGTAGTGGAAGAAAGGGCAGATGCTGCTGATTCCTTTGGCTCTGGGCGAGGTGGAGTTGGAGGTGGAGCAGAAGCTCCTGTAGAAGCAGCAGGCTGAGGAGCTGTTATTGCATCAATCTCCTTTAGAAAGAAAATAGTAACAAATGCATTAATCACATCAAAACCAGAAAAAAAAATCCTACATGCTCAGTTGTTAGCTTCTCAAATCAAAATCCTCATATTCTAATTAAACAATTTCTCCAAACCTTTCTATTATCCACTTTTTTTTTAACAACCTTAACAAAAAGATAATACGAAGAGCCCTAGCCAGTTTGGCTCAGTAGATAGAGCATTGGCCTGTGGACAGAAGGGTCCTGGGTTTAATTCCAGTCACTGGTCCAGGCCCTGGTAGGGGCACCGCAGGAGGCAACCAATTGATGTGTTTCTCTCACATCGATGTTTCTCTCTATCTTTCCCTCTCTCTAAAAATCAATGGAAAAATACCCTCAGGTGAAAATAAAAAAATATGAAGAGAGATGGGGAGGGACTAAGGAAGACAGATAAAAGGGGAGAAGTGAGAGGGAGAGACAGATGGACAAGTATACTAACCAGTGAGATGTAAGTCCCCAAAGTGGTTCCAATAAGTTAAAAACCCAAACAAAAGCACCACTAACCGCTAGGAAGTTGGCCAATGTACTATCAATATCAGTTGACTGATTTCCATTCGCTTCTTTAGGTTGCGCTGGTTTTTCCAAAACATCACTCTCTTCATCATCACTATCTGCATATGCACCAAGTAAGCATAAACCTCCTAGAAACAAAGAGATAAAGAACTTTAGTAATAACAATGCTAATTATGTCCTAGGTAGCATCCAAGGAAAAATATAACATGGTTCTTCAACTAAACATTTAGTTTACTTACAGATTAGAACCTTAAAATAAACCATCAATGAACTACCCGAGAGGCAGAAATTACATTATGCATTTAGAGCTAAGAAAATCAATGTGCACAGCTACTTGACACCCTACTCAAAATACATGCTCAAGCATTCAACTTTATACTCTGTCAAAATAGCATATAGTGTATCCTGACTTTAATATTTGTTGATTTATGTATCCATCTCAAACAAGTAAACCAATTAGGATTTAGTAGATGAAACAAAGTTCCTTTCCAATTATTTTTTCCCTCAAACAAAACATTTCAAAACGCTAGACCCAAAACAAAAAACTAACAACAACAACACTAGCACCAATGATCAATGTCTTCCTCAAGCTCAAGTCCAGGTATGTCCCCTGAAATGCTGTTATGCTATTTCCTTTGAATCACCTGTGTCTACTTTAATGTCACAAACTAAGTGAACACATCCAGGGGTGGGCAAAAGTAGGTAAGAACTCTGTGCCCAAGTGAGCGTGAGTACAACAACTACACTACAGAATGTGTAAATAATTAAGGCTGGCAATTTGTACACTTATATGAAATTTCTTTGTCGTACTTTCATAAACGAATTCATGGGTTCACATAAAAGTAAACACAAACTGTTCCATTTATCATACAAGAAGAGTTCATATTAAATGCTTTAATCACATAAATCTTGTTTTAGTACATAGGTAAGTTCTTACACTAAACATTAATTTCCAAAATACTACTTTAAACTGATTAGAATAATGTGAAGGAGACATTTGACAGTGTTACCAAATACTTCATTTTTCATGATTTTGGGGTACACCAGCCAATTTTCCTAACAAGAGTATGGAATAGCCTTGTAAGGGTACAGCTACAGAAGTAGACATTTCTGTTTGGACAAATTCTGCCCGTTAGCAATCAGCACTGATGGTTTTTTGAGGGAAGGGGGAAGATGGAAAATTTGTATTTTTACATAAAAACACTTCTTAGTTTAGAAACAATCATAGATCTAATCACCCAGTTCACTGTCTTTAAAACTTCATATACTCTTTGGTAAAAGGTTCCAAACCAGGTGAGTTGTGTGGAATTTTAATTATGAAATTCCCCAAGCCTAGAATAAATGGGTCTCATAGGCAATAGGTTTCGCCAAGTCTCCACCTATTTATTCCTTTTTTCCTCACCTAAGAACATTCCATAGCACATACATCAAACCTCTTCTAAGCTCCTAATAATATAATTACTATTAAATAGCAAAGTAAATTATTAAACTTGGTATTTGGGGGAAGAGGCATACTTAATATTGTTAGAGACACCACACAATTTGCAAATCAACTAACTATATCTGGCTATAATTTCTTAGATTATATTTTTTACTTTCCTGATAAGCTTCAAACAGTAACTGTGCATTATACTTTGAGTAACTATTATAATTTCCTCATAATATTGCTGAATAGCTGTTTTTAACCCTTTTAGTCACAGAAACTATTAATAATCAAGATGATAAAAACTATATACCTCCTCCCAGGAACACACATTTGAGTGTGCAATTTCAGGGGGTCCAGAGACCTCTGACACTCATTTTGTGGTTGTTGCTAATCCTCACCTAAGAATATTTTACCCACTGCTTTTTCAGAGAAGGGGGGAGAGAGAGAAACACTGGTATGAGAGAGACACCTTGACTGGTTGCCTCTGCATGACCCCAGACAGGGACGCGGGGAATGAGCCTGAAACCAAGGTATGTGTATGTGCCCTTGACCAGAATGGAATCCGGCACCCTTCAATCCTCGGGCAACACTGCCCACTGAGCAAACCGGCTAGGGGGCTTTCTTTGTTTTTTGTTGGACAAACTTTTTCCTATGCATTATACCAACTGGTAGGTTAAGAACTTTAAAAACTGAATGAACTGATATATTATTACCTTGTAGGATGATGTTGGGCAAAATGAAAACATTTCTGTTCATAAGGCATTCCTAGAAACACTGAAATTCTATCTTACATGATTCTTAGACTCAAATGAAATATGTACTTTACAAATACAAAATGGTATTTTCTAGTTTGGAAATTTCTCTCAGAACCAAGTTTTAGCTTTTCTAACCCACACAGGGCTTTCTTCTTTTTTTTAAGTGACAAATGGGAGGAGGGAACAAGCATCTATTATTTCAGGATTTCAGGTGTCATATAGTACAAAAAGTACACCACACTTAAAAGAATAAAATTATTACCAATTAATAGAATATTTAGTATCAAAACTATTTTAATCTTTCAATCTATTTATATATAAAACTAACATTTTGATAGTTCCCTGTCAAAACTTGATATAAACTTTTCAATGTAATCATCAAAATAACATAGAGCTTAAGATCCACTTTACAGGTGAATGAGATCCTGATTTCTCAGAATGAATGCTGAAGTGAAGATCTGAACTCAAATTTGTCTACAAAACCACTGCTGCAAATACTCCTTAATGCAATTTCAGCTCCACAAACATTCGGTAGATACTAATCAAGGCAATGTGTTAGGAAATTAACAGAAATCGATGGTGTTCCCTAAAGCCAGGTGGAGAAGCCAGAAAACTCATTACAAAATGGCATTAGAAGAAAAAGTAGTGTATTTTGGGTACAGATTAAACAGCAACAAATTTTACATTGGGTGCAGTGTACACAGACTAACGAACTCTCACAAATAGATTTAAAATTCCCTTTTTTGGGGGGTAGAAATATAAATTAGCCAACACTGAAGCCGTCAACAAAACACTCAATAAACAAACCCAATTGGATCCTTATGAAATATATTATAAAAAAGATGTAAAAAAAAAAAATCTATACCTGTTGCTTTCACGGCGGTCAGTCTGGTGGTCATGACTGGTTTTGGAGGATTCTGAACTCTGGGAACCTCCACCACCCCTTCCTGTTCATCTGGATTTGGAAAACGAACAGAAGAGAACTGCAGTCATTCGATGGACCAGAGAAACACTAGAGGTAACAAAACCAAGCTTTGATTTGACCTTTCAAGTCCAGATTCCATCTTTTTAAAAACAGTGTACAACCCATCACTGACCCAAATAATTCGGAAGATAATAAACAAGCACAGCTAGAATCTTCTGTCTTGTGACTTTAACATTAGGAACGTGAGCATTATAAAAAAAATCAAATTACATCTGAAATAAACTCTCTCTCTAAATGTGCTCTAGGCTACTACAAAGCCTTTACAACAAGCACAGCCATAGCGTTTTCTTTCGCACAAGCTACCCAGCGTGTTGGGTTTGGTGTTTTTTTTAAACATCTGAAACGATCGTAGCTTCTCCGGGGTCTGGTCCCTGGATTAGATATCGAATTACTCTTGTTTTAAATAAAAAAATAATTTTTTTTTAAAAAAACTACAGTTTGCATTCCATATTATGTTGTAGTAGTTTCAGGTGTACAGCGTAGCGGTCAGACAAGTTAAGTTCCAGTCCCGGGAGAAACACACAAACACTTGGGCTACCCAAAAGTCTCACTTCAGAAATTTTCGGGTGGGGATACCTGCCAATCTGGGGGTTCCCGAAGCTTTGGCTGACATAATACAAAGGGCTCGCTCACTTCTAAAGAGTCTCGGTTTCCACAAAAGCGAAAGGAAACGCAGATGACGTGCAGAAAAGGCCAGGTCCCCAGTCACCCAGCCTCGGACGCGGAAACTCATACTCTCACGTCCGCCCCGCGAGGAGTCCCAGACACAAGGCGGACGTTGACGCTCCAGGCCGCCGCGCCGCTCCGCCCTCTGCAGCAGAGATGGCGCCTCTGGGATCCCCGCGCGCGGTTCCGCGTCCCTCCGGTCGTCTTGGGGCCCACAGCCGCCCTCCCCGCAAGCCCCACGCGCAGGCCTCGGATGCGGACGCCGCCCTCCCGGTTGGTTGTCCTCCTAGGGTCCTGCCCGAGGAGCTAGGCCGCAAGCCCGGAACTCGAGTTTCGGACGCCCCTCCTAGGGGCCGGGGCCCCTCGCGCACCCTTACCTTCTGAAGGCGAGTCTTCCGGGGCCGCGGCGGCAGTCACCGCGGTCGTCGTGGTCGTCGGCGCCGCCGGGGCTGGCTGGCTAGGCGTCGCCGCCGTCGAGTCCGGCTCGGGGTCGGGTTCGGGCTCCGGGTCCCGGCCCGGCGTGCTGCTCCGGGGACCCGGCGGAGAGAGCTGCAGGATAGGCCTTCGGCCGGGTACCACCCGGGACTTCTTCCCCATCGCGAGCCCGGGCGCGAGGTGCGAGCGTCGGGAAGCCGAGAAGGGCGGTGCTCGGCGCGGCGCTGCGTCATCAATATTCATACCTCGCGACACCGCCTCTTGCGAGGATCCGCTTTTAACGGCGGAGCGCGCGTTGCGCAAGCGCCTTGAGCCCGGTACAGTCTTCTGGCTCCTCCCCCCCAGGGGAGAGGGCGGGCTTTGTTCACAGAGCTAGGCTATTGGCTATTTTGGCCTATTGAAGGGGCCTATAGCCAATGGAAAAAGGAAAAACGAGTGCGCGTCAAGCCAATTGTACGGAAGGGCCTGCGTTTAGAATGATTTCCCCAGCACCTCCGGCTCCACCCATGCGTCTTTGGCGGAGTCTTTTCTTTACCCGCTCGTCTTCCATATTGTGCCTGTTTTCTGCCTACTGTTCCTTATCATTTGTCCTTTAGGAAGGTGGGCTGCTTTCCAGGTCTTTCCCCCAAGTTTCCCTCTGATTATCGTGGCTTACTTTGGGTATAGCATTGAACAGTAGAGTACTGGGTCTTTTATGCTTTTGTAAATTTTTTCTTAGGGCATAACGATGATGTAGTGTTGCTCATCAGTGGGGGGGCGGGGGGGGATCACTAGAAATTACACTACATACGAGGTAAAAGCCTAAGCTGTTGCGGTGAGATACAGGAGCTTCCCAATCTGGCCCACTGGTAGCCTTAACCTGCTTGATGTATCTTCCTTTGCAGTCTCCTTTTCTAACCCCCAGTCCCCACTCTTTTTCTGGAGCCAGCCACTAGGAACACCACCTATCTCACCTTAAGTCCTTCACATTATCTGGAATAACTACTGCATCACATGGCGAGTTTTTTTTTAATTCCTCAAGACCCGTGCAGGCATTAATTACCTCTCTGAACCTTCTATCTCAATGTTGAGCTCCTCCCCTGCACTTGGCGTTTATTTATACTGTTGGTACTCATTTACCCCTTCTAAATTGAGCTTAAGAAATCCAGTGGGATATATTTTTATACCCGACTGCTCAGTTCTTACTAAGTATACTAATAATACCTAACGTTTATCGAACACTTACTATATGTCAGGTACTAAGCGCTTTACAAGTAGAATTGCATTTAATTCTCACAATCGTGTGGGGTAGAGATCATTATGCCCTACTTAGGGATGAACCCTCATATTGGTTGTTGAGGTCCCTGTAAAAGCTGGCCAGTGTCTTATGAACTGTCACCATGGCAACCCCTGCTTTGATAAGCAATACAAAGGATAGGTTTCTTCAACAGTGCTGATCTCAAGCTTCTTATCCTCTAGAAATGGCAACAACTACGTTTGATATTTTTCAGACTGTGGATTATGATCCATTAGTCACTCATGAAAACAGTAAGAGGATACATCTTTTGTGAAACCTTTGTTTTCTTGCTGTAGTTGGAAGCCACAGGTTTATAATGCTGGGAGGACAAGGGCTGTCCCAGGCCCGAATTGCATTAAACACTTCATATTTATCATGACAAAAGTTACAATAAAAAAGAACCAAATACCACAATTATCTACCAATAACAACACCACAGGGAAACTTGTTATTTAAAATATATAATGTAAATATGGTGTTGATATTATAAAAAAGGCTTATGAAAAACTCAAGAAAGGTCAAAAGATATACAAGCAAATATATACAGATCGTTTCCTTAAAAGATAATTTTAATATACAGAATAAAATGCAAGATCTTATTTTTCACTTTCCCCAAATTCGTGGGCATGAATGCTTTTGAATCTGACCAGGAACATTTATATTTTGGCCCAATACATGATTAGACTAACTGTATGATCAAGTCCGGCTTGATTATTATAAATCACAGAAGTTAACAGAATTTACTTTGAAAATTTATTACTTTTATAGAGGATGGATTTCTAATTTTTTCTTAGCTAAGAGTTGATTCAACTTTAGCCTGAGAACCAGATTCAAAATAAGGTATCTTCTTTGACAGCTGGTCTTTGTTTAGGCTTAATCTAGGCAAGTTATTTAATACTTTATTGAAGATCATACAAAAATTCCACAATAAATAATGAAAAGAGTATGTAAAATCATAGCCTCTGTTTGCAATACAGAAAATACATGTCAGTTCTGGACCAAAATAATCATTGAAATACAAAAAGTGAGAGGGAAGAATGAAAGGATTTGCAGTGACTGCTTTTGGTGGTCAGCTACAACAAACCAACAACCATCACCCGTTTGGAAAGTGAAGGTGGGTTTAATTTGCAGATAAAGAATGTCTCTGGTAGTTTAAAAAAATATAAACTCTAAAAAAGCTTGTGAATCATATACAAAAGCAGCTGTTTGAGACCCAAGATGAAACCGGAAATTGTATATTAGCACCGCCAGCAAGCGCAGGTCCTGTGACTCCTCTGTCCAACTCTCATATGCAGAATGCAGACTTGAATGTTGTACACATCATTTACAGGTATAAAAATTAGCCTGGAGTACAGGGCTCCTGTAGGATAAAGTCTTAAGCCCTAAGAGGCACCAAGCGGTTACAAAGGCTAGGCGACCATCTGGATCACAAGTTCCGACGATATAATAAATCCCGTGTTGCCTTATCAACTTTTTGTTGGTAGTCCTCCAATTTGTCAAGTATTTTCTGCGACAGCTATTGGAGAAAAGGAAGAAATCATTACAAAATATGTCAAGGACTGCAAAAGACTGAGGCTTTCATTTTGACTTCACCAAGCAGATTCCCGTAATGAAGATGTTAGCCACTCTGCTTCATTTAATCACTATCCAGTATATGAGTCTCCTTTGGGACTCTACTGATAAAACTGGATTTCTGTTATACTAGTATATATAATACTCCAATCCTGTTTGCCTAAAGATTTTCCAATTATGCAAATCACACCAAGATCTTCAATAAAAGCATTGCCAGCTCTCTTACCAGAACCAGAGAGGCCACATCTGATTTAATTAGTCATTTTATGAAGAGACTAGAGGCCCAGTGCACGAAATTCATGCACTGGGGCGTGGGGTGGGGTGGGGGTGGGGGGTGAGTTTGTTGTCCCTCAGTCTGGCCTGCACCCTCTCACAGTCCGGGAGCCCTAGGGGGATGTCTGACTGCTGGCTTAGGCCCGTTCCCTTTGGGCCTCTGGATAGTGGGCCGACGTTGGCAGTCAGACATCCTTAGCGCTGCCGCCACTGCTGTGCTCGCCAGCTGTGAGCCTAGCTCAGGGCTTCTGGCTGAGTGGTGCTTCCCCTGTGGGAGTGCACTGACCACCAGGGGGCAGCTCCTGTGTTGAGCGTCTGCCCCCTGGTGGTCAGTGCGCATCATGGCAATCTGTTGTTCTGCTGTTTGGTCAATTTGCATATTAGCCTTTTAGTATATAGGATTGAGGCAGCATGTTAGGGGAATACATGGTGCTGCCCTTTCCTTAATTCCTTGAGAACTGGAGAGCCAGCTGTCAGATGTAACAGCTAGTGCAGGGGAATAGAGGAAAGGACTGACTCACTGCAATGTTGTGACTGTTGGCACTATTCTCTCCCAATACTTGGAGAAGCTGATCAATGGAAGAGTATGGGAGCCACACCATTGGAGCCGTCGCAGACAGTGGAAACTGAAAGAAAAAATACCTATAATTTAAAGAAAACCAAAAAGTGGACCATTTCTTCTGGTAGTTACTTTCATAGGCTTTGATTAACATAAAATGTTTTACTTTTTTTTTTTCACAGTAAGAAATTGCATGAGTGCGCGCGCACTCACACACACACACAAATTGGAACCCCACCTACCCCCTTTCTCTTTTCAATTGGAGAACTTGTGCTTTTCTCAAATATGAAATCAAATATATTTTTAAATTCATGTCATCTCTTATTTTAAAGGAGCCCTAAGGCTCCTAAGTTTATCCCATTAAGGATAAACATACTCAACAAAACTTTTCTAAAATTTCAAGGAATGATACTATTTTCAGTCTGAAATTTAGATTCCAATTATCTGGGAAAAAAAGGTTTGGAAAGAAAAGTTTAACTTTGAACGTTCTGAATACTTTCCTGAGAGTTTGGGAGCATGGCTCTGCTGTTAACTAGACTTGAATTTTAAATGTGGTTCTCCTATTTACCATCTGTGCAAACTTCCGCGACTTCAAGTTAACACCTGAGCCTGTTTCCTTATGGGTTGAAAAAAAGGGATTAAAACAGTCCCTTATAGGCTACTGTAAAGATTGAGAAAACACTGGTAGAGACTCAGCATAGTCTTCCCACACAAAATGCCATTTTGTTCTTATTTACCTCCCTTTTCCAAGTCCTAACTAAAGCCACACTCCTTTGATGGAGAAAAATGAAAGTATTCCCATTTTATAAACAGGAAACAGAAGACTCTTAGAGTGCCAGTCCCTAATCTTGGAGAAAACTAGTTGTAAAATTACTAACAATTAAGGTTAAATCTACTACTCTGTAGTCTAATTGTTTCAGCTCCTGATTTTACTTAGTGTGCTAACAGAATGAAATGAAGTGTTATGTATACACTAGAGGCCCAGTGCACAAAATTCATGCACAGACCAGCCTGTGCCCTCTCGCAGTCCAGGACCCCTTGGGGGATGTCTGCCTGCCAGCTTAGGCCCAGTTCCCTGTGGCCCTAAGCTGGCAGGCGAACATCCCCCAAGGGGTCCTTAACGCTACCGCAGAGGTGAGAGAGGCTCCTGCTACCGCTGCTGTGCTCGTCAGCCATGAGACCAGCTTCTGGCTGAGTGGGGCTCCCCCTGTGGGAGTGCACTGACCATTGGGGAAGCTCCTGCATTGAGCATCTGCCCCCTGGTGGTCCGTGAGTGTCATAGCGACCAGTCATTTCGCCATTTGGTTGAGTTGCATATTAGCCTTTTATTAGATAGGAAGCCTACCTCAATTCCAAAGTACTGGTGTCCTTTTCCCAGAACAGCATCGACATATTCTGAAACCAAATCCACAGCTTCTTCCAAAAGGTCATAATTTAAGTACAGACGGAGCAACTCAGCGGCATCAACCTTCTGTAAAGAGTCAGCGATTAAAAACATCTGCTTGTTTCTATCTTACTTAGGCAATGATCAAAGGATGTTGTATCTAATTCTCTTGTACTGATACTTCTCAATAAGAATAAAAGAGCACCTTGGTTTACTTATCTTGGG